CACTATGTTAATTTCAAGGCAGAAGTGCAAAATTCCATTGATAATGATGTGTAATGACGTCTACATGTCGTACAAATTGTCGACTAGGTTACCTGTCAACTAATGGCGCAGTTCCACTACAGCGCGGAGCTCGCTTTAAGCGTGCCGTGTCGTGCCGTGCCCGTTTTTGGTTGCGGTTCCACTAGGCCTTGTTCCGGCCCGGCCCGGCCCGGGGCCACTTTTTCACGTCTTTTCTGGCCCGAGAAAATTGTGGTTCTATCGAGGCCAACAAACAGGGCTGAGTCGGGCTGAGTATGCTAAACTAGAGAGAGGAGCGCTGGCAAGGGGGCTACAACTACAACAAGATGGACATATTTGACCGTGATTTAATTGTAATACACGTTTCAAAATGATGCCGAAGTAACAACATACTGATACCGGTTAGTAAAAACCATGAATTAATGCTTTGTCAAGTCTGCAGACAGACGGCAGGAGAAACACCTTTTAAAATACGTGTTTTTCTAGATGGAGATTGGCTAAGCTAACGCAGTATATGCTCCGACCGTCCACACTCACAACAACGGCCTATACAGACATAAATAAAGCAGCGACTGTATTCTCCATGACACAGGCAGTCTGTGGTGTGTACTTGTTTAACTTTTGTCGAGTTTCTGAACATATATAAGGAGCTGTGAGCTCTGAGTGCTAACAGCTAACGGCTGTGTTGTGTTTCTGGAGTTCTCATTGAAGATGACGTCACGGCTCCGCCTACACTGCGTTACTATAGTAACTACCCCAGTTCCTAAACTGTAATGGAAGCGCAGCATGAAGTGAGTCGGCCCTGTTAAGGCCAAGCCGTACCGAGCGTGGCCGAGGCTGACCGTGTAGTGGAAATGTGCCATTAGTTACTACAGTTATTACAGTACTGGGTAACATAGTTGACAATTTCCCTATTTTGACCCATCATTTCAATGGTAGGCCTTGCTTGGATGACCACATGTCATTTTCTTGAACAGGTTAACATCACATTTGAACATATAATTGAATTAAAATCATTAAACAATTGTAAACCATAACAATGTACGTAACATTGTTGATGGTCAATTAATATACTCATTGACAATGTGCTATTATACATAAAATATTGTAAAAAAGTAGAGGACAATCACCACCGTGTGTTCAAAATGTCTGCCAAAGAGGAACATGGCATCATGTGATGCTGGTGACATGGTATTGGGACAAACCATTTTTGAGTTAAAGGGGGGAGTTCTGTTAGTAACATAGTTGACAGAACTTTTGCGGACATTCATATATTAAGATATTTAAATTATTTAAAGGAGGAAATCAATTAAAAATATGTTATTATTCTTTAGTATTTAGACTTTGGAAATAAATGAATAATTTTTTTAATTTACTTTAATGGTTTTTATTCATTATTTTGAAACCAAGACACCCTCAACTGAAAAACGGACATGGCAAAACCTGACAATTTAAGAACATCATGACACATTTCAAGCTAAATAAAGCATAGGATGCACATAATGTTTGTGTGATATTATAACATGCTTTCCAATAATAGGTCAAATATGATATTTTTGAAGAAAATAGTTAGAATAATTATAATTATCATCAATGGACATGGAATGTACCCTAAATTGTAGAATCACTCATGGATGTATAATAAGACCAGGGTTGCGGTCGAATAGTCCATTTAGCTTAGGAACCTTCCTAACGGAGTGAAATGACCCGGAAGTCCCTCAGTGGCAGCCATGATAAGTGCCGTTCGAATTCTCTAAATGAAAGGAAAGGAGGTTTCAAACTTCCTTTATAACCTCCTTTAGCTTAGGAACCACTGGACCTCCCTAACCGAAAGGAGAGGAGAAAATGCTGCCCCACAATGCCTTGCGGCCGCGGCATTTGCCGTCACACAACAGTCGGCCGTTCACGGAAACAACCGATTATGAACGAGAAATTATATCATGAAAGTTACGGTGCTTATTAAGCATTTTAAAACGTATGTGGTAAGTTGCCAACGTGCTTTGTTTTGAACGTTCATCAGTATTATAATCAAAAACAGAAATATGAACGTTAGTTTTTACTGAAATTATCAAATAAAGTCAACATTTCACAGTCTTTACTGAGCTGTGTGGGGTTTGTTCAACTTTTAAAAGATGTTTGAATGGTGATATACACAGTGATAGATGTTAAGGACTAACGTTTATAATAAATACATTTGTATTGATTTTAAGATCTTTTCATACAATCATACGTATTGGGATCATTTGTATTAATGTGGACCGGAGGGAGAGGGTGACGAGCATAAGTTTCACTTTCCTTTTTTATTTCAATTCCAACTTTGGTCATGAAGAATATGTTTCTCTGTTGTCCCCGTTCATAAAGCATAACAGCATCAGAGCACGGTGCAGAGTCTCTAGATGAGTTTACAGTAGTCCCTCGTTCTTATTAAACATCCATGTTGTAGTCCGCTGAATAGAAAACTGTAGTTTCCATAGTTTCCCCACAGCAGCAGACGCACATTCATGACGTCCGCTGGCGCATCATAAACACGTCGGATAGTGAAAGTGCAGTCGATTCTCTAAAGTACTGCAGTCTCTTCTCCTAAGTCCTTTTGAATTCTCCTATCCACTATTCCTTAACCCTGTGACGTTTCACTCAGAGGTCAAGGAATAGACGATAGGGTTAGAACTTAGGAGCTGATTTTTGTACTATTCGACCGCAACCCCGGATACAGCGTGGGAGGCGGGGCCTCATTCTATGAGAGTTGCTCATTGGCGCATGAAGATAAAATGGCCCAACTTTTCAATATGGTCTAGCTGCAGCCGCAGCAAGTACACGACACGCCCCCTACACGACACGCCCACCTGACACGACACTACGGTGGCTGAGAGCCATTGATACCGTACATGGCAGATTAAAAACGAATTGCAAATGTTATTGCAGCATTTTAAGCAACTATTAGGCAAATTAATGAATAATCTAGTCTATCCGTTTGAGACTTTAAGCACAAATCATTTTGTCTGATTAATAAATTAAAACAAAAAGGGGGTTTAGTAAACTTTATTTTTTAGTACACATAAAATAGGTAATAATGAGATCTATTAATTATGTTTGTCTAACTGCTACACATGCATTTATACATAAATGTAGATATTTATGAACAGTTAAATATAGTTGTTAAAGGTTTTAAGATATAATTAATCACATCATGGGGTCATTAAGGTTTCAAACAGGTTCATGTAAGGTAGGCCTACTATAACATGAAAACATGAGCCTGTAGTTTGGTCTGTTATTGATATGGGCTGGACACCCCTTCACAATGATCATCATTGACTTTTTTTAGACCAAATTAGGAGGGCCAGTCAGGCCACTAATGAGCTCAATAATTCACATGTATTATTACTTTATAAATTAAGAGTACTAGGGGTCTATTTCAAAACCTTTGAAGGAATCGTCATGCATTCTGAATGTTTCTGTACCTTAAAAACATCATGGCTCAAGATCCATGCTCATTTGTGAATTTAACATCCATATTCACTCTTCAAAGCTGAAAAATCACCAACATTTTCTTTTAAAGCATTGCAGGCCTAAAGCTCCACGTCAGTGACCTATATTTCATTTCTTCCATCAAACTTTAAAAATGGCAAACAGCATGTTTTTAAAGATTTAATCTTTTAAGAAACAAAATATCAACTTTGAACAGAAGGGTTTAAAAACACGTTTTGAATGCACTGGTGGTGGTGAAGGCATGAAGGGATTCAGGGCCGGTTTTTGGCATAGGCGACATAGGCAGTCACCTAGGGCGCCAGATCTGGGGGGCGCTGCGCTGGTCTTTTTTGACCATTGGTGCTCATCCTACTTTTCGGCCTTGATGTAACAATATTCATAATTAAGTAAATGTAACACCCTTTTCACCCCGGTTACATTTTCCATTTGCCCTGTAAGTGATGAAAGTGGGGGATGTTGGCTTATCTGGTGCCCACAGCTCACAGCCAAAGTGCGAGTGAGCGTGGGAGCGAGGTACCGGCGCTGTTGTTATTAGCACCTGGTGCTAGCTGCGCTAACGGATATAAGAGGAGAGCTCTCTCCTGAGAGGCTGATAACTACAGCTCCGTGAGGTAAAGGACTCTGAGTGTTTAGATAGTTCACTTTAGTCTAAGTTATCTCAGTGGGTCTCAAACGGTTTAATCACAATTTATGTATAATTATTGGGATAAACAGGTTTGAAATCATTCCAATGTATACTAGAACAGTAAACCAAAAATATCGTTTAAAACTGGAGAGATAAAAAAATATGCATAAATAAATAAATGTTAACTAGGTCAAATAAGATATGAATGAACAACAACAATAAGTTACATTTATTTGTTATTGGCTATGGTAGGTTGTTGTCGTGAGTTCTTATCATGGAGTGATGATCTAGATACCTATCGATTCTGTGTACTCTCACGATGCTAATTGATGGGTTGGATTTGCAATTACGATAAGTAATAAGGGTGTTATACCGTGTTTTCTGTGTGTTTGGTATTTTGAGCAAACACTTGCACATGTTTTTTATAGATATAGACATTTTTAAAACCAAAACAGTACGGAATTTTAAATAATCCTTTAGGGATGGTCATGGTCATCATTTTGCAATCATCATTTGTTAATAAGATTAATTAAATTTTTTCTTTTTCTCTTGTTTTCTCTTTTATTAGGACAATTCTGGAGAACTGGATCTGCTGAGGAAGGAGCTGCCATCCACACAGGACCCCCCATGGTGCTGGAGAAATCTAAACATCAGGGACATCATCCTCCCAAACCTCTGCTTCCTGCCGTCCAGCTGAACAGCAGCTCAGGAAGCTTCAGAGAGAAACGGTGTGTTTAACAGAGACTGAAGCACACGGAGAAACGGTGTGTTTAACAGAGACTGAAGCACACAGAGAAACGGTGTGTCTAACAGAGACTGAAGCACACGGAGAAACGGTGTGTCTAACAGAGACTGAAGCACACGGAGAAACGGTGTGTTTAACAGAGACTGAAGCACACGGAGAAACGGTGTGTCTAACAGAGACTGAAGCACACGGAGAAACAGTGTGTTTAACAGGAAGTGGTGATTTAGTAAACATGAGTGTTGTGCTGCTCTCGTTGGTGAAGCAGCGACTCACTGCGGCTGCTGAAGACATCTTTGTTCTGTTTGAAAGAACGATAGCAGAGTACGAGGAGGAACTGTCTCGTTCAAAACAGGAGAACGAGAGACACCGGAAACTACTGGACGCTGTTTTACAGCCTCAGCTTCAGATCCACAGAGCAGGTCTGTTCCCTCTCTCTTTGAACTCTCCCTTTATTAACTCTCACGAATGCATGTTCCTCACCAATGTGGCACCATTTGAAAGGTAAGAAAACAGGCTTTCCAACGTTATCAGATTTATTGCCAAGAAGCATTGTTACAACAAAGAAATAATATACCAAACACTGATTTCCTTACTTAGTGTTAAGTTTATTTAATTGTATATCAATAGGGGATCGATGTCTGCCGGTAGACGAGTGGCAGTGAGCAAGCTTACACTGACACTGGTCTCAGTGTTTGATATTTTAATGCAACAACTAAAGTAACTTTGACTTTTAACATTAGCCTCATTACTCCAACTTCAACATTTTGAGAAAAAGAGTGGATTTTTGAGAATTTAAGAATTTAAGAAAGAGATTTGGCTCCTCCATTCCTACCTATTTGCTACGTGTGCATTGAAGGACACAGCGAGCTCTGCAATAGCAGCGCCCTTTTACCTTAAAAACAATCACTAAAATGCACCATCAGCTCATACAGCCAGTAAATGCAGATCTAACCCTGATAACTAACATGATCATGACTTACACAAACCTACATGTAGAAACTCATATCTGCAAACAGAAAAGAAGAAACTTCACCCCCACGCTCTCCCTGTCCAAACTAAGCAGTATAACTTCCTTTAATATCAGCTACAGTACTAACTCACCTGTTTTCCTGAAACTCCGGAGCATCTGGAAAAAAGGTGTAATTGACAGACAATTGAGCCAACAGAAATACAAAGGGGGCGGGACTTAGCTAAATGATAGGCAAGCATTTGAAATGTTAATGTTGGTAATGGTCATTACATTTTAAATTCTAACACTTAACAGTTTCTCTGAATATGTGTTTCCTGTTTCCTGCAGACGTCCAGCAGCTGGTGGTGGTTAAAGAAGAGGTTCCCCCTGAGCAGCAGGAGTGGAGCTCCAGTCTGGACCAGGAGGACCCAGAGCCCCCCCCACACATTAAAGAGGAACAGGTGGAACTCTGGAGCAGTCAGGAGGGAGAGCAGCTTCAAGGGCTGGAGGAGGCTGATATCACCAAGTCCACATTCACTCCTGTCCCTGTGAAGAGTGAAGATGATGAAGAGGAACCTCAGTCCTCTCAGCTTCATCAAAGACAAACTGAACACCTGGAAACAGAAGCTGATGGAGAGGACTGTGGAGGACCAGAACCAGCCAGGAACTCAGATCCAGAGAGACATTTACAACCAGAGACTGAGGACAACCCTGGAGACTCTTCTGAAGACACTGAAGACAGTGCTGATTGGAAGGAGACCAGAGAACCAGGTTCAAACTCTCAGAGAAATAAACAAGACCCTGTCAGTGATTCAAGACGTAGTGCAGGAGAGAAACCATTCAGCTGCTCAGTCTGTAAGAAATATTTTTCACATAGAAGAAGTTTAAAGCACCACATGAGAAACCACACAGGAGAGAAACCATACAGCTGCTCATTTTGTAAGAAATATTTTACACAGAGTGGAGATTTAAATAGACACATGAGAGTCCACACTGGAGAGAAACCATACAGCTGCAATGTTTGTGACAAAAGATTCACACAGAGCTATCTGGTCAAAACCCATAAGTGTGTTGGTCGTCAGTCCTCACAGCTTCATCAAACTCAAACTGAGGAGAGCAGAGAGGCAGAGCCTCCAGCCAGCAGCTCAGCTGAACACATGGAAACAGAAGCTGATGGAGAGGACTGTGGAGGACCAGAACCAGCCAGGAACTCAGATCCAGAGAGACATTTACAACAAGAGACTGAGGACAACCCTGGAGACTCTTCTGAACCTCAGACTGAAGACAGGGCTGATTGGAAGGAGACCAGAGAACCAGGTTCAAACTCTCAGAGAAATAAACAAGACCCTGTCAGTGATTCAAGACGTAGTGCAGGAGAGAAACCTTTCAGCTGCTCAGTCTGTGAGAAAACATTTGCATGGAAAGGATATTTAAATCTGCACATGAGAATACACACAGGAGAGAAACCATACATCTGCTCAATTTGTAAGAAATCTTTTGCAGTGAGAGGAAGTTTAAAGTGCCACATTAGAATCCACACAGGAGAGAAACCATACAGCTGCAGTGTTTGTGACAAAAGATTTACCTGGAGTCATAAGGTCAAAAGCCATAAGTGTGTTGGTCGTCAGTCCTCACAGCTTCATCAAACTCAAACTGAGGAGAGCAGAGAGGCAGAGCCTCCAGCCAGCAGCTCAGCTGAACACATGGAAACAGAAGCTGATGGAGAGGACTGTGGAGGACCAGAACCAGCCAGGAACTCAGATCCAGAGAGACATTTACAACCAGAGACTGAGGACAACCCTGGAGACTCTTCTGAACCTGACATTTTCCAAGTCAAATCTGCATGTGCAACAAAAAAAGAGGACAATTAATTAGTCCTACGACAATTCAGATGAGAAAAATCTGTCTGACTGTATAAACTCTGTGTGACAATATTCATACATGACTTCATATAAACTCCATCTTTATCAACAGAAGTTTTGAATATGTTTAACGTTTTTGTCATACTACTGTTCTGATTTATACTATAACCACTGACTGATTCATCTGCAGAGTAGTTTCTCTAATAATCTGTTTGGTTAATGAAATGTTGTGACTTGAAACTTCCATTGGGATGTGTTTGATAGTTCCTGTTGAGTTATCAGTCTGTTCTGGTCTAAAAGAAGAACCAATGACTTATTGATATAGAGAATATTTACGATGTTTCCAGTTTGATTCTGTTCTGTTTATATCATCAAACCAAACTAAATGAAAAAAGCCTTTGAAACAGACTCACATTCCTGCATATTGTTTGTGTTTACAGATTACAATCAGCTCATTTAGAGTTCAGAGTTAAGATGGAATTTTAGGATTATTCCTTAAGTCCTTTCACCTCCGTTGAATCAGGTTGGAAGCAGAAATAAAATACTTTTTATTTAGGTTTATTTAGATGAGATTAGATTTACTTATATATTTAGTTGTAGCTGCAGAAACAAGTAATAAACAAGGCATTGCACTAAAGTTGAAACTGTTATTAAAAAGATAGATAACTATATGCATATAAACATCAACAATATACTTACCTCCAGAGGTTCTATGGTAGACACACAATAAGATATTCAGAATAAGTTAGAGTACACTGTAATCAACAAATCATATTGTTAAAAAATAAAAGAAACGGGATAAACAATATGTCCTCAGTTCAATCAGGAGAGACGGTTTTGATGTAAGAATAAATATTTATTGCAGAGATACACAAATTAATGTAATGGTGATTTTGGCGATTCGGCCCCGTTGTGCAGGAAGTATCATTCGGGAGGGCAGAACCGATCTGATGAAACGCCCCTGGGGTCTAGACACTGGTGGTGGTGAAGGATAGTTGGGTCAGTCTGAAGGGGAGGGGCTTAGCTTGACCCTGGATTCAGAGGGACAGGAGGTGATAAGGGGGTGGAGGAGAGTTGCGTTGAGTCACCTGAAATGACAGCTGTCAGAGGGGGGAGAGCAGATTTAAAAGGTTTAGCAGAGCGCTATGATAGGCTCTTGGGAATAGAGCGAAGTGATTGGTTAAGCTGGAGAGTGACGCCCCCGATCACTTATTGAGAGGAGAGAGAGTAGTTACATGGAAATAGTAAATGAAGAGTAAAGACGGTCAAGATGATCTTTCTCCCTCAGCTGTTATACCTTTTTCAGAACTTACCTTTAAATATCACTAAAGCCTTTTTCACAAAACTAGATTAGATAATTCTCCCCTTTATTTGGAACTATAAATCCCATAGGATTAAGAAAGGTCACTTGTGCAAGACTAAGACGAAAGGCGGGCTGGCTCTGCCAGACTTTATGCGCTATTACTGGGCGGAGAATATTCGTTGTGTCTCCTACTGGTTAGACGAGACAGTTGTACTCGCAGACTGGCTTGACTTGGAACGAGAAGACTGCCTACCCTCCTCTCTTGGTGCCATAGTTATGTCTCCCGTGCGTCTTAAAAAGTCATACTATAATAATAACCCGATTATTCATAATACCATTCAGATTTGGAGACAAATTACAAAACAACTTAAACTTAGGGCCCTGTCCTTCAATGTTCCCCTATCATTAAACCCATCATTTACCCCTTCAATTATGGATGGAACCTTTGACAGATGGAGAGAGTTAGGAATGGGTAGCGTCGGCGATTTATACATCCGTGGTACATTTGCATCATTCCAGCAGCTTCAGGAAAAGTATGGGCTGGCTAGGGCGGATTTCTTTAAATACCTCCAGATTAGTCATTATGTGAGGACCCACCTACATGACTTTGAGACTGCAACACCTGACAAGTTTGACCACTGTTGAGATCTTCATATTAGGTTGAATAATTAAAACGAAAGTTAGTTATAATCAAATATAGTCAATTATATTCTTGTATAACCCACAATGAAAATGTTTCATATTTTATGATTTTCTATATTTACAGTATAAACAAAACACAAGTGGTTTGTTAAGTTGAGTGAAAGGCCTATAATGGTTTATGAGTGTCACTGATAAGAAAGAGGCAGTTTGTTCTCAGGGAGGGGGGCTCCTGACTTAAGGAGAAATACATTGAGGCCCAAAAAGGTGGTTATGTCATAGCCGAGAATAATATTGTGCAAGTCCTGCAGAGTAGGGGTCATGTCCTTTTTACACAAACATGGGAAGGTGTGTCTTATGCCATAGCACATGTCTGGTCATGTCCAGTCCTGTACATCAGAGGCCATGTCCAGTTTCCACAAATATGGGTATGGAGGAGGTGTCTTTAGGTTTTTCTATCCTGTTTTCGAGCATAAAGACACTGGCAGATGGGGAGGAACTTCCTTTTTTTGGAGAGAGTGAGAGAGAGGGGGGGGTTCCCCTGGTATGCTCTCTCTCGGTAAAGCGCTCTCCTTCAGAGCTGGGTTTTTGCTCTCTGTAAGGTTCTCTCAAACTTGGTAAATATCTCTCGAATTTCTTTGTTGAAAGTGGAGTGAATTTCTGGGTTGAATGAGTGGAATGATAGGAGTGGGTTTGTGAGTATTAGTAACCGCCACCTGTGACGATCTTCCTCCGAATACATGCGGGATATAGGTATGTGTTTGTGAATGTTGGTACCCGCCATCTGTGTCGGAAAAAAGGTATGGAATTGATGTGAATTGATTTTGTGAATGAAAGTTTGAATGTGCTTTTTATTATCACCGGTCTTTTATGAGGAAATGCCTCTAAATTCTGAAGATTTTAAATGTCACAACTGAATTGGACAGTTGAAGTTACAAATTATGGTAATAAATGTAAAACTGTGAATTAAAGTTTCATATTAGAACATGATCACAGCATGATAGGTTTAGTATGATTATAATGTTGTAACGAGAGAAGGTAAAAACCCTGTATAAGTTTGGACCTATTTTTCTTCAAATCAACTGATCCCACCTTTTGGATTGGGACAACTTGCTTCCTGTAATCCACAATCAGCTCCTTGGTTTTGCTGACGTTGAGATGGAGGTTGTTATCCTGGCACCAAGATGTCAGGTTTTTGACCTCCTCTCTGTACACCGTCTTGTTACCGTCGGTGATCTGGCCGATGATGGTCGTGTCGTCAGCAAACTTCACGAAATCTGAGACCATTTACATGTAAAATGTCATTTTACTTTGCAAAAGCCCAAGTTTACTTTAACTGTCAGATGTTTTGCAGAAAAGATCACACGAATATATATATTTATATATCATATATATTTGAAAATAATAATATACATCACAAAAATAAAAACATTAAATAAGATATATTTGAAATAATAATAATAATAAAGCAAAATAGACCGGCAATGAAACATTTCAACATTTAACAATAGCCAACATTTTGTGACAAAGATAACAATTATAAACACTAAAGAAATCTACCAGTTATGTGTGTGCGTGTGTACATGGGTGCGTTTCTACTCTCTCCATTCGAAGTCAGCGATGTTTGTAGTCAATGAAAGCACCGTTGGATTGATCTTGAATAGGCACCTGTTAAGACAGAAGTACACTTACATTTAGTGCTACAAACAATAGTTTTTATAACTACAAATTCTGTGGATGATACAGCCATTAATTGTCTTTACACGTATACAGCTTGAAGTCAAAAGGCAATACTACTCTTAAATGTACTTTTCATTAACTGTTATGATCATTGTTGCAATGTGAGGTGCAGATGAAAAACCAATACATGGAGAGAGGGTTTTCTTTCAAAAGCACTGGAACAAGATGGCTTCCAGCTCTGAACAAAGGACATGGGGATTACTTTGTGATTGTGAGTTTTAAAGACTGTTCAATTAATTTAAATAGACTACCTTTCTTAACAACAAATAGTTAAGCTAGTATGTTAGTGAGGGAGTGTGTGCGCTTCCTCACAATCACATCTGTACATTTAAAGCATTGGTTTGAATAGAGCTTTGTTATATAAAGTCGTCACTTGGCATCACTATCACACTGGACAGTATCGCAGCAGGTCTGTAAACAGGAGCAAGCGGTCACTTGAAGATCATTTGAATGTGGGTAGCTACGAGTGCCATCTTGAGAGTGTGTAACTGGGGCAGATGAGGTGCGTGTCAGCAGCAGAGTGAGCGGTGTAAAAGCATCGTAGTTAACCGAAAGAAGTATTAATGTGTTTGTTCACTGCAATAATATCAGGTTCCGGTGCCCATCCCATTTTGGTGCAAGAAATAGTTGCGTCTTCCTCGTCAGATTCCATTGTCATCAGGTGCTGACGCTCCGCTAAGCCTCTACTTGGTGGTACAAGTAGCTTGCTTCAGGGAAAGCTACATTGTTTTTAAAGTAGCAAAGCCTACGTAAAGCTACTGAATATGTTAGCTAAGCCGGTAGCGTCGCTACTCCCCAGCATTGCAAATCTGGCATAGTATTTGTTGTCTGTTGATGGGACATGGAGCTGCGCAGCTGGAGTTAGGAGAAAAAGAGAGAGGCCCGTCAGACGACCTAAATGTGGCAACATGGCGTGTGAGTTTTGTGCGTCGCTGACCAATAGTAAGTCACCGTTACTCACACTGAAATGGACATTATTGAGCCTTGCACGGCATTTGAGTTGTATTGGAGTTTGCTAACTGAGGTTGTTATTGATATATAAAGCTAAGCTACATTAGCTAATGTTAGCATTATTTAGCTGTACTTTCTCCATTTGAAGTGTTATGTTTGACAATGTTGGCAATCTCTAATGTTTAGATGACATATTAACCCGTCTCATTGTAAGTTAAAGGAGCTATCAGTGCGGTTTATATTTGTAATGGTTTTATAACAACCTACATGTTGATCAGTGAATTAGCCCTAGAGAGTTATATAGTACGATTAAGGGTAAAGTTATGCTTATTTTTTATGGTATAATATATTTAAGTAAGAGATTCTAATTATACTTGTGTGTCTCTCTGTTATAGACCACACACACACATTAACCTGTTAAGCCCCAAAGCCCCCGTCGGCGGGTCTTTCTTTTTTTCACAAATTAAAAAAAAAAAAAAAGTTTAAAAAAAAAAAAAGATTCTTTGGATGGAATGAATACCTATGGTGATAATTCAATGTAATACATCATTTTTATAGTCTGGTACCTGAAAAAGGTCAAATGGCACTGATGGAACCAGATGTACCCAAATGTGCCGAAAGCTTATTCCGCCTGGAACTTTCTTTTTGCTAAATCTCTCTAAAAAGGTCAAATTTAACTTGTTTTGCCTCAATCTTGATACAGGGTACTTATTATATGTTATAGTTTGGATTCCTAAAGCTTTTAGTCTACTAACCCATCATTCAAGGGTGGTTTTCACTATAAGTAATGTTTTTTCTTTAGGCGGAGGTAAGAATTTACCTTTTTTTACTATGTTCCATCTGAATTTACTCTGACTGAGAA